TGATTTTTTTTTGTAGTTCTTATCAACACCAGAAATAATATTATATGTATTTTGTTTTCTTGTTTTATTCTCTGTCTCCTCCACTGTACTATAAGCTTCATGAAGGCAGGGCATTATTTGTTTTGCTCAGTAAGAATAATACCTAGTACATTATAGACATTGAATAAGTACAATTTTATTTATATTATTATTATTATTGTTGTTGCAAAGTATTTAAAAATAAATGCTAAGAGAAAGTTAATTAATGATAAAAGTGTCTATGTGGCTTGAGAACAATATTCGTTTTGAAGCTTTTATTTGACTTAACGCCTTTCAAGATTAATCTTGCACATTCAAGGGTATTAGTAACACCAATCAAGTTTAAAACTGGTAATAGTAGTTGTAATAGTAATTGTAACAGATACCATTTTTCAGCCCTCATTAGTGGCAGGTGCCTTGAGTGGATTATACTATCTAATTCTCAGAACAACGCTATGGGTTATCTATCACCTCAATTTACAAATGTGGTGTTGGTGGTTCAAGATATGTCCACAGTTTCTTTGATGGCCCTCCTTTTTAAGGGTGGGAATTCATTTAGCTCCCTTTGAGTGTGATTTAGGCTTAGTGGCTCAGTTCAAAAGAATGGAATATGGTAGAAGTGACAGTGTTTGGCGTCCAAGCTTAGATGGCCAAAGGCATTGTGACTTCCTTCTTGCTTTCCCTTGGATTACCCAATCTGGGTTTTAGCTCTCTCTTTTTTAAAGTGAAGGGTATGGATCAGATGACATTCCCAGTCATTTAGTCTGGCGTGCAGCAGATCACCTCTGTATCAAATAGCCTTCTTAGCATGGACTAAGACATCAGATTATAAGGGGGATAAATGCTAATAAAAATACAATTATAAATTTAAAAAGAAATCAAATAAAAAATCAAATTAAAGAAAATAAAAAATAAATGGACTCATAAAAAATAGTCCTGACATGGTGTATAAGAAAAAAAAAGACATCAGATTAATTAGTTGCTCTATGTTGAAGAGCTGAAGCCTTGACAGTTTGCTTTATTTAGTTGGATTTGGGGGACTAGATGAGAATGACAAGAGGACACTCAACTAACCCTATGGAAAGGCTCATATGGCTAGGGGCTGAAGCCTCCTGCTAACAGCCATGTGTGGGTGCTACCTTGGAGGTAGCTCCTCTAGTCTCAAGTCTTCAATCAATGCAGTCCTAGCCAACATTTTTGCTACAACCTCGTAAAAAACGATAAGCCAGAACCATGCAGCTCATGATTCCCTAACTTAGAGAGATTGTGAGATAAGAAATACCTTTTGTTTTTAGTCACTAAGTTTTGGGGATAATTTACTGTGCGGCAAAAAAAAAAGTACATTTGGAAATGGTAGGACAGAGAGGTTAGGTCAAGAGCCCAATAATGATAATGCAAGGTTTTGCTCAGGCAATCTGACTCGAGAGCCCATATATTCAACCACCACATTATACAGGAGGTCAAGATCATGTCTCAAGTAATACTAGAAGGAGAATATTGTCATGTTCAAATGCCACAGTCAGGGCAGAGTATAAAATCTTTCCTTGGATATTAAACTGGCTGCTCTTGCTCCACTGCAAGGGTATGTTCTAGGCAGTCACCACCTTTGCTTCTAGATCCTTATCTGGCCCAGGCTTGTTCAGGCATACAGTAGACACTTATCTTCCCAGTATCGATCCCCCCATTCCTCTGGCCTTTGTTCACCCTCACTTGCAATCATGTATGTAATTCTGGCGAAGCCGCCAATCATTGCCCCATAGGTGGGCATCTGACAAGCTAGACAATCACAGGGTGCTATCAGTAACTGACTACAGTAATTGTGCCAAAACCAGTGCATATGGGCTACATCAGCCAAGAGGAGCCTGTCCCTGAAATTTAGAAATATGTCTAAGGTCTCTAAGCTGGATGATGTGTGCTGCTAGGTGCCATATTTTCAGCTGCATGGAGGCAGCTGATCTTACAGAAAGAGGCAAGAGAGTGAGAGATCATTTTATATCCTTTGAGACCTTAAATCCAGCCAACACAGAGCAATTTCATCTTTTCTAATCTCTGTGAGTCAATAAATTCTGTTTTAAATTAGTTTGAGTTGAGTACCAACTGTTTGCCCTTGAGTTATGACTATATGAAGAGTCTGTTCCAGTTTGTGGAAGATTGGTAGGTATCTTCCATTCTCCATGAGTGACAACGGTTCTATATCATCAGCAGAACCCGGAGACATGTCCACTGATTGGGCTGACTTTCCCACAGAGGGTGAAGACCCTTCCCTTCATTCTTCAGGAAGCACCTGGCTTTTCTGGAAGCCAGTGGCAGTCTAGGGGTAAGCAAATTAAAACAGTGTTATGAAGGACGGGTAGCTCAGTCATTTAGTTTAAAACCTTAGTCATTTCTGGATCCTTTCTTTTCTTAGTTGCTCACCCCTTCCCCCTATTCTCAGCATACACACAGACATCCTGTTAGTCATCGAGTCCTGTTGATTTGGATCAAATGCTTTATGGAAGTGGGCGGAGTAACTATAATGAAAGTTGGTGGGCCGGCAGGTTCTTCCTTCTGGACATCTTGCAAATCCAGTTTTTCTTCTTCATTTCTACTGCCACCACTGTAGATAGACCATCGCAGTTGGTCTCCTTGCCTCTAACCTCACCTTTTCTAGAATTTGTTTTCTAATGCACACTTTTGATTGCCGCATGCTTTTGATGGATTCAAAAGTCTTCAGTTTTCCATTGTTGATGTGCTAAATCACAAACTTGGCATTGCAATTATAACACTCCCTGAACCGATCTGCATTTGCCATCCAACGATCTGTGATTTCCACAAATCAATCTTCCAGTCTTGTCACACCCCTTCCATTGCAGCACTGCCTACCCTTACCTCTTTCCTCAAATTAAAAGACTGCTTTTCTGTGAGGCTTGAAGAGCCATTTCAATCCCACTCCTCCATAAAATACTTCCTTAGCCTGCCAATCCACAATGAATATCCCCTTCTGTGAACTCGGTAAACAATTGTTGTCTAGACTAGAGTTTTTCGAACTGTGCACACATTCCCAGGGAGTATTTGGCCAGCCCAAGTCAAGCTTTTGGTGTTTTTGTAAAACTACTGATTATATATTCAAATTTGGCTGAGCATATTATTTGCAAACCCAGTTTCTGTCTTGTCTTCTACTCCCAAATTACATCCTCATGCTATGGTGGTGCATTTATTCCCAAGTACAAATTAAGGATCATTAAAATTTGTTTTGCAACGTACAGATAGAGAACTGCTTATTATTAATGTTATTATTTAAAACCATGACCCTTGGGAAAATAGTATGAAAAACAGAACTGCTATAACAATTTCCACAGTTTCTAAGCCAAATAACACTTTGTTATTTATTACTTTCCACAATCTCGCCTTCCTCCCCTCACTATTTTGATATGGGATTTTAAGCTAGAAAGCATTATAAAATTTGTTGTGTTGGAATAGTCTGACAAACATTTGTTGTGTACCTACTCTCTGGCAGGAATCGTGATAGAGGGTTATGATACAAAGATAAACAAGTCCCTGCCAGAAGAGGAAAAGTTTTCCAGATGGATTAAATGCACAAAGACATTCTAGGCAGAGGGAACAGCATATGCAAACTCCTGTGCCCTAGAATGTGCCAGACATGAAAACTTTGTGGTCCAGATTCTGTGGATTTTTTTTGAATTGAAAAATTTGGTGACTTTTAAAAGCTTGACAGCCTCTGGATTGAATTAAGCCTTTCCCCTTTGCCATACTTTCCCATTTGCCTTCTTGCTCTCCACAAGGGCAGTTCAGGGTCCAAATGCAGACACAAATAACCTTTATATTGAGGTCTGCTAGTATGCTTCACTTCATATATACATAAGCCCTCTATTTAATTCTGACAACATCTTAGGTGTTTATCACCACCTCCAATTTAGAGACGAGGAAATCAAGGCTCTGATGGGTAAAATGACTTATCCAAAGTATCACAAATAGGAATTGATGGAGGGATGATGTAATTAACATCCATAACATCTCTGGAGAAACTTACCAACCGGTCATTTTTTGGTCTGGGTTGAGGAAGAACTTTCTTCCCATTTCAGAAGAGCTTGCCTTCCTAGGTTCTGAGTTAACTATCTCTTTTATGGAGAGAAGCCTTTAAACAGAAGGGGGACGAGAAATCATATTAGTAGAAAGAGGTGACTGAAGGAATTTGGATTTTAGGGACCTTTTCCAGTCCCTGCAGCTCTGGAGCTGGCACGTATTAGGAACTCCTTTTTGTTGAACGACTGATTCCTCATGTGCAGTGACTAGTTTCTCCTTTTGGAATCAAAGTCCCTTGTGGGCAGGGTCCCAGTCGTGTCTTTCTAGGTACACTGTGCAGTTTGGGTAGACTTTAGTAAATGTTTAATAATGGGTGAGTGAATGAATTTTGAGGTGAGGGGTTGTTGAGGGAAGGCCAACCCTGGCTGTAAAGACTTTCTAGGGTTTATGAGGTGCTGTCCTGGTCCTCCCTGGAGCTTCTGGATGGGCTATTTCTTTCCCCCTTCCTGTGGCTTCCACATCTAACAAACCAGCCAGGGAGGGGTTCTGCAGCCAGGGTGGGGCCGTGCAGCCCCGAGGAGCCAAGTCTCCTAGCGCAGCGCCCACTCCATCACTGGAGTGGGGGGAAGAGGTGAGAACCTTGAGACCCGCGGAGCCCAGCTGGGGCCCCTTTCCTGCGGCGTGCCACTGTAGCCCTCTACCTGTCTCCCCGGCCGCCCCTTCGTAGCCTGGGCCCGTGTGCGCCCCGCGGGCATCTAGCCCGCTACCCCCCGGGACCCCGCCAGCCACCTCCAGAGCCGGCCGGGGGCGGCGGGACGGACCCGAGGGCTCCCCTACTCCGGGACCGGTCCCCCGGGGCGCGGCCGGGCAATCGCCCCCGCCCCGGGGGCCGGGCCGGGCTCCCGGGGGGCGGGGACTCGCCCAGTGGCAGCGGCGTCCGGGCCGGCGGCGGGCGCGGGGCGGCTTCCTGCAGGCGGCGCCGGGGCGAGCCTTTGCCCGCTGCAGCCACCGCCGCTGGGTCGCGGGGGCCGCGGCGCTCGGGCCGCGTCTGTGCCATCCGGGCGCGCTGCGCGGCCGTCGCTGCTGCCCGCGCTAGTGCCGCCGCCACCGCCGCCGCCGCCGCCGCTGCCGGTTACGCCAGCTCCGCCGCCGCCCGCTCTGATTCTGCGCATAGGCAGCCCCCAAGCCTGTCATTCTGCAAAAACACAGTTTACTCAACACACCACACACACACTCACACACACACACGCGCGCACACACACGCGCACCCTGGCCCCCTCGCGCACACGCACGGAGGGCGCGAGCGAGCAGACGCGCACACCCGGCGAGCCAAGTTCCGCAGCCTGGCATGGCTTCTGGGGACCTTTACGAGGTACGGGGACGCGTGGGCTCGGGCCGGCCCCAGCCCGCGAGCGGCGGGCGGAGGGCGGCAGCCGGGCGGCGGGGACCGGGCCGGGGCCGGGGCCGGGGCCGGGCGCGAGCGGGAGTTGCCGAGCCCGCGGCGGCAGCGGCGGCGGCCGGAGGGCGGCGGGGGCCGGGCGCGCCTCCCTCCCGCCCGCCCTCCCGCGGCGCCCGCGCCCGCTCCCTCTTTCTCTTTCTCTCGCACACACTCTCTCTTACTCCATCTACTTTGCGGCCTTGGAGGGGAAGGAGGAAGCCGGGCGGAGCCGGGGCGGGGGAGGTAGCGGTCCCGGGGAGGTGTTTCTCGCCCGACGAGCCGCCTTGAGTGCAGAAAGTACAGGTAAAAGTCGGCGCCGGACGTGCCAGGAATGCTGGGGGCCGCACGGGGGTCGGCGAGGGTGCGGGGCGGGAGGTGCGTGGCCCGGGGGCGCGGGAGAGCAGTGGGGCGGGCGATGGGAGCGAAGCCCAGCCCGGGCGAGGCGGGGTCCTGTGGGGGCTTGCGAAGGGGGCGGCATAGTGGGGGGTCGAGAGACACCCGTCAAACCGCTCCCCGGGGCCACCAGGCCACCGCCCCCTCCCCCCACCTGCTGCCCAAGACCCCGGCTGGGAAACCCTACTAGTTGCGTGGTGGGGGGTGGTCCTTGGGGTGTCCTGCTCACTGGAGGCGAAAGGGGGCGCTGCAGATGGCCCCTGGTGAAAGGAAGAGAACGTGGAAGTCAGAGGTGGGTGGCAACACGTTGCTAGAGGACATGGGATGTGAGCCATGCTCCCAACACACTGTCACCTTCAGTGGATACCTGCCCCCAGGTACACACAGGTAGTGAGCGGCCTGCATCGGATATCTTGAAAGCCTCTCAGAAGAGGTCAAGGTATACATTAGTCTGGCACCTTTGAAATAGAGAAATAGTCACGGCCTTTGGGGAGCTACGCTTTAGCTAGCTCTGGACTCAAATTAGTGTGTTTGGATTCCCTACAACTGGATGAAGCAAGAAACAATCCCTACTCCCTGGGCAGAATGCCTCCAAAGAGGTGTTGGCCCCCAAGAGAAGGTTCAGGATAAGGCATCTAAGAGACTAGTCATCTTCAACCAGCAGGCCTTCCGATCCTCCAAGAAACCAGTATCATCAGTCAACCTGGACCTTGACTCCCTGAACATAAACACATTAACACTAGTCTCAAGGCTTTTGGAAAATATTGTTGGTAAAAATACAAAAACGTGGGTAGCCTTGTGGGTAAGGGACTCAGAGGTGATTCACCAACAAGAGAATCTAGGGTTGATTCACCTGCCATGAACATTTTTCTTTGGGCCTTCTGGACTGCTGAGCTTTTTCAAGATGGTGGATTTGCTGGCTGGTCAGTGAGCAGAATGGAGAACACTCAAGTTGGCACCTTTGCTTCCTGTGCCACCAGGGTCTTTTTGATGATTCTGGACTTGGTGAGGCCCAGTCATGGGCCACCAGGGATTGGGCTCAGGTGGGATGGATGGACGGTCTTAGCACTCATGAAAGAGTGATGCAGGTTGACTGTTTCTCTGCCCTACTGCCTTCCTCATCCCTGTTGCTAATCAGGAAGACAAAGCTGGGTAGAAACCCGATGAAGAACTTTGTCAGATTTTGGCCAGTGGGTCACCCAAGAAACACTTTGGTCTGTTTCAAGATGGCAGAGCAATTTCTGAAACCAAAAGCTGAAGCACAGTAAAATGGGATGTTTGGTGGAGCTTTTCAAAAAGAATAACTAGCTCTATTAGGGCATTGGCCCAAAGTAGATACTGTTCAGGGGCAAAACTCACTGTGTTGGAAGTGTGGCTTTTTCTACCCATTGTTATGGGGTCATCTTATTGCTGCTGAGCGTGCCGGGGTGAAAAGTTGCATCATGAAGGTGTTAAGAGGACATTTTAGGAGCTGTCAATACTTACCCATTTAAAGTTTGGAACTTATGAAACTTCAGGGGATAATTTCTTGTTTAATGTTCATCTGCAACTGTTCTTAACATTGGTGATTAGAGTTGCGAGATGAATCTGGTAAAGGGGAGTTTTCACATGGGCCTTGGAACTATCCTAGCACCTCAAGAGTTCTTATTGAAGTTCAATAAACAGGACAATAACAGTAATTACTTCTGTGATAGTAGGTAATTGTGCTAGATGTAAAATAATTTTCCCATGGCTGGTTATTTGCATAGTCATTACTTAAAGGGCTAAATTGAATTATGAGAATATAACCAATGTCAACATTTTTATAGCCTACGATGCATAACATATATTGAGGAATTTAAATTGTTGTCCAAATTTGGCTTTAAAAAGCAATTAAGAAGTGCTAATTGTACATTAGCATATATAACTCTTAACTGTAAAATTGTTGTGTGTGTAAAAAATAGGGTGTTGATTTAAGGATAACACTGGAATATTCAGTACATTGATTGACCTTGAAAGAAAAAAAAGGAGAAAATCTATCTAATATTGGTATTACATTAATTAAGCATATATTTAAGTGTTTATAAAATGGCTTCTTTTAACCTCTGATCAGGAAAACACATTTGGAGTGGGCTAAGAACTATACATTTGTAATGGACGTATTTCACCTGTGTACCTACTAACGCTGTTCTTGACCCTTTCTGGTGAAGATGCGATTTGGATTATAGAGATTCCTCATCTTCTCTTTGATGTTTCAGACAATTAAATTGTAAAGCGTAAACCTTCCCCAAATAGCAGATTGTAGGCCTGAAAACGAAAACTTTGTTTATGTAACGGCACCCTTCAGTCATAGAGAATCAAGCTCAGTTTCCAAATTTTTTGATGTTGATCGATTGTTCTATCTCATTTTCCCTGTAGCAGCGTTCTCATCATTTGGTGTATTAGAAAAGTGATATTAAGTATTGGTTGACCTTCTTAGAGTCAAGTATCTGTCTGGATAGAAAATGAAATTCCTTATCCAGATGCTCTGGTCTGCATTCTGCTAAACATAGGCACATAAGGTGGTGGTCTGTGAGCCAGGTCTTGGCTGTCTATGTATTTTGTTTTATTTTACCTGAAAAGTAAATAAGGAAGATGGATTTGAGTACCTTTAGATGGAGCATGTGATCTCTAGTTCATCACTCTGCCTGCGCTTCATTCTCCCTCACTCTTACCTTACTCCTCTGGCTCCAGGAAGCACTCGAGTTTGCACCCCCAGGATTCTAGTCAATCATTTGTTAAGATGTTTGAGTGTTAGGAAAACCTAGTCACTGGAATAAGAAACCCAGTTCTCTTGTCTTGTTCATCTCTGTGTCGCTAGCTCCTTGCACATTCAGGGACTTGTTGACTAAATCAATGAACAGGAGACTGAATTAAGTATTTGTAAAGTACATTGGTGACCTTTGTTATCCTTGTGGTGTTACTCTCTGTTCTCTTTCCTTCCCTGGCTCATGGTCTCTTAGTCGTGTTAACGCCACGCGTAGGGGTGGCTGTCAAATTCCCTTTGGAAGGAAGTGAGTGAGACCGTCTGCAGAAAACCACACTGTTATTCACTAGAAGGATCGAATGCATCTAAGCTTCAGCCATGTAGCTTTCCATGTGGCTGTTGGCGGTATTTTACACCCCCTGCCTTGTGGTAGCTGACATTGTGGAGGAGGTCTGCACTTGGCAAAAATGTTCAAAGGGAATGCTGTATGTCTAGAGAAAAAGTCAGCAGCGGCCAATTTATAGAGATGGACTTGACAGTGATCGTTCCTTCAGTGTTTGTCAACATTCATTTATTTATACTTAATTCTATCTTAAAGGGATGAAATATGCCATGTCTTTTTTTTTGGGATTGATACATGCATCAGTATTTATTTAGTGTATATGTGTGTGATTATGTGTATGTTTGTGTGTATATATGTAATATATATGTATATATATTAGAAAATACTGCTTTCATTTTATTCCAAATAAAATAACAATAATAATAGGATAATTTTAGTTTTGTTGAAAGAAATTTACTTTAGTTAAAAACCTCCTCTGCTATTGTGATGACATAGGCATTTCTGCTATAGCGCTATATATACATACACACCTTGTGTTTTGCAGAATCACGCACTAAAAAATAACAGGGCTATGCGAAAAAAGGATCGAAGCTGAAAATGTGTGGAACTTTGTAACCAGAATCAAAACCAAAAAGAAATCTAATAAAAATACAGTTTGGTTAAATCTCCACCTGGCTGGTGTTTGCTCTTAGCAGGTCAGGTCATCCCTTAAGCCTCAGGTCAGGTTTGTGAGTCCTTCCTCTCTCTGTAGAGGGCAGAGGGCATTTGCATCTAGTAGAGACCATCGTCATCAAAATTAAAGCTGGCCCAGGGTGTAGCTCTCTTCATTTATTCCTGTAGGTCTTTTTTTAACAATATTTTTCAACTATAGTTGACATACAATATATTATTATAGTGTCAGGTGTACAACAGAGTGATTAGATGTTCACATACTTTATGAAGTGATCACCCATCATACTGTCTGTGTAGTTTCTTTACCTGTCACTTGCAGCTTCTCCAGGCAGGTTAACATAATGGAAAACATAGTGGTTCTTGAAGCCAGCTTTAGTTACTACTAACATTAAAAGAAGGCACTTGCTTGCATTTCTAGCTTTGTTCTGAGGTCTTCTTGCTTGCATTTCCAGCTTTGTTCTGAGGTCTTCATGCATCACTGTTTCTCTTTCCTTGTGAGAGCACTGTACTATGATTGCTTCAGAATATCAACAAAATAGGAAAAATCACATAAGAATCAACACAACTTACTTCTTAGACTGACATCATTCCTCTATTTACTAGTCATGTCTGAGGTAATTCCTGCCAAAGAAGCACGTGTCACATTGGGACAGTCAGTGACATGACTGCTTGCATCTCTGTACTAGTTTTCAAAGAGGCAGATTTCTTCAAGGAAAATATGTTGGTTGAGTCAAATCAATTTCTTGGCACATAGTAGGCACCCGATGAAAATTGAGTGGATGTATAATTCTCCCACCTTTT